GTTAATGCCACAGGGTAAAAAATACTAGAAATGAGTCAGTCTCTAGGGGAAAGAGCAAGTCAAATTAGGAGGAGTGTCAATACTAAAGTAGTTCTTTGGGGATCTTTTCGAGTGCATATGAGTGACTGTTCCACTGAAAGTAAGGTGAAAACACAACTGTTTTGGGAAAAATAACAAATGAAACTGAAAGGCAGAAAAAGTGGAAACTACAAAAAGCTGAGAAAAAAACCTGTGTGTATGATTCTTCCAATTTATCAGATCAACTCATAAACATATATCTTCCCTCTTCCTCTTAGAACCCTGTTTGCATGACCTGGATTCAGGTTTACCATGGGACAACATGAATCAGTTGACTCCAGAGCATAAAAGAGGATGCACGTGAGAATGGAAAACTCTGTGGCCAAGTTTGTGCATGTGAGAGCTGGGACAGGTCCCCATGCGTAAGTTGTAGCAAGTGACACATACATGATATTTCAAGTGCTTCACTTAGGAAACTAACTCCATAATATTCCCCCTGAAACAGGTTGCTCCCAGGTGTTTAACGAATGGTTGGTCATTTAATGGCCCGAGGCAAAGCCAAGGAAGGTTAACTTACTGACAAAGTGGACATTAACTATGATAACAACAGTTTTCATGGAGGATCATTGCTATTATAAACCTTATTCAACACCATAATGCCAACAGTAATTCCCTGCTTTTTCCTCATCTTTCAAATGAAGTTAGTGTCTTCATGATGTAGCAGAGCAAACAGTGCAGCCAAAATCCGAGACCTTCAACTCATAGTTATTGTCTTTCTGTTTGTTCAGGTACAAACAGTATTGGACTTTGGCTGGAAGATAAATTAGCACAAAGAAAGCTTCATTTAAACAGTACTCCACAAGCACATTTTTTCCTGAAGTAAGCAAATTGTCTTCATCAGGCAATTTGGAGGGCACAAAGAGTGCTGCCACCTACAGAAACACTCAGGGGCAGGCTGGACTCTGGTTGCTCTGGTCTAGTAGAAAGTTCCTACTCATTGCAGAGTTGGACTAGATGGCTTTAAAGGTCCCTTCCAACCTAAGCCATGCTAAGATTTTATGATTTATGGGAGTTACATTTTGTTTGTTTTGTAGGATTCACCAAGGGGTCCATGCAGAGGGGCTGTGTTTCTGGGCTACCAGGCACTGTTCACTTATATATTACTTTGCTAAAGAAATATGCAAAATACATTACCTCAAGTAAAAGATATATAGACTTCTTTTCCCCCCAGCATCTCCTGATGTCTAAGATATGCTTGACACTTGAAGCAGAAACTTCTGCTAGGAAAAAGACCCACTGTGTGGTATTTGCTCTGAAAGGCACAAGGAAGGCTTCCAGCCACAGAGGCCATTAAAGATGGAAACGAGCAGGCAAAAAGCTACAGATGGTAATGAGGTACCATTATGGAATCCCTTCATAGCATTCAGAAATTAAACAAAAGGGATGAATTTATATATTTTTAGGAGCAAAGATAAGGTATCATAAGCAGTACCATGCAAAGATTGCAGCTCAGTCTCTCACAAGGATTCAAGAGTCCCAGTGACAATTAGGCCACTGAGGTCTCAGAAGATGAGCCTAATTAAAATCTTCTGTGCAGAGATCAGTGATCTAACAATACTTGATCTTGTCAGCTCTACCACATCATCTTCCATCTATTGGTGAAGGCCTAGGAGGCAAGAGCAATGGATAGAGGCTGGCCACAGGTGTGTTCAGCAGGGTTGTGAAAAGGGAAAAGAGAATGTACAGCATCACCCACATACTGGAAATGAAGCAATCAGTGAAACTTACGGGAAATAAATCTTAATTAGGCTTTGAAGTTTAAAAATGAAAACAACTGAGATCAGCTGATAAATATGTTTAATATCAGTTGTACTTTGAACTTTGCTATCTCCTTCTACTTTAAGATCTCAAAAGGTTTCGCAAGCTTTAGAAATAAAGCCTGATAATACCTCTGCAAGGTCAGCACTATTATTCTCATTTGTAAAAGTAAAATAACTTGGCCAAGGTCATATACAGAGAGCCAGTGACAGAGCCAGGAATAAAATCTATCTTTTTTGGCTCTTGGTTAAATATATTTAAGGTGATCTGCAAGGGAAAAATACTTGGGTATGTGCCTATTTTTTTTCCTTTTCATTTTTATGATGATGAATAAAGAAAGTGTTAAATTTTTTTTTAAGACTTCATATAAACTGGCCTGAAGGACAACAGTGGTACTTCGAACAGGAATGATGATACAGATTTAATTTTCAAGCACTTTGAAATCTGAGGGGGGGGGGGGGAAGTGCTAAATTAAAAGCTGGTTAATAAATAACAACAAAAATGATAATGATAATGATAATAATAATAATATGCTGTAGCACTAACAGAATAACTCCCTATGTGAGCATTATATTTGAGAATAAAAGTAAGATGCTTCTGATACAATTACTCCATGTCATTTATGACTAGGCCACAGTAGTATAATTATTCCACTATAGTTCTACCAGTTCATTTCCCTGTGTAAAATAAGCCCTAAGGGATTCTTTTCCTGCTTCTATTCAACATTTTAAAATTATATTCTTTTTGCTCCAGACAGTCTCTGATGGAAAATACAGGAAACTACTGCATATCAGGAAATCTGGGGGCACATCTACAGATAGCATTAGGTTGTCGTAACTCTGACTCTATAAATCACCTGAGGATTTGCTTTTAAAAAAGTGAGAAGGAGGGATCTGTGAGAACACTGAGCTAGTTTTGTTTTGAACCACACAGAGATGAGATGAATGGGAAGCCATCAACTCAACAGCTTTCCAGGAAACAAACTGAAAATCCTCAAAACCAAAACCCCTTTCCTGTCCCCTCCAATTGAGTGGACCGTATGAATGACAGATGCTCATATGATCAATCTCTCTAAAAACCTCAGCGTTAAGTACTCTTTGACATTCTGAAAGTATTGGTTCAGACTGTAACTAAAGCAACAAAGCACCACAGACTCAGTAGTCTCCAGCACATTTATCTTTTCCATGTTAGATGAAAAGCCAAAGTACACAAAGTAAACAGGTGTCATATTTCATGTCAGACACCCAAACTGGAGCACCAGATTTAGCACTTATGAGGAAAATCCTGCCTTACAAATCTGTGATTTCATTCACACAACAGCCACCTTTCCACCCAGAAATGTTTAATTATTGGAGTGTTCTGGCCATAGTCAGGAAATTTAACAAAGTTGTATGATATACCTCTATCCCTACCTTGGGCTCCTACTTTATTGCTTATCTTCCTCTGGTACGCCTGGCTTTAGGTCAGTGTTATGAGATACAGCCACTGGATTGCATGTGCTGTGGCTGCTCAGGTGATCAACTGCACTCCCACAGTGACAGAACCCTCCTCAAATGTGGCTTTATTTCTATGCAAGTGGAAATTGAGGAATGGTGTGAAGGCAGCTAAATAACATTTCTGGAAAAACAGTACAGTTTAGGTCTTTGCAGTTTTATGTTCGGATTCCAGCAGTCACAGTTCTGCTGTACATTTCTGCATCTGTAATTGCACACTGTGTCCTTTCAATGTGATTTTCAGAGCTTTGCATTGCTAAGCTTACCTAATAATAGAAAAGGGCTACAAAATCCCCCAAGAAGCCTTATTATAGGAGCTTGCTAAGACTTCTAGCAAAACATTTCCCCTGAATTTTTGAGGCTAGACATACACATGTATATGCTTTATAAAATAAAGGCTACTGCATTTTAAGCACATAGTAGAGGCAGCAGAAATTAGAGATAGTAAAAAACGTTGCCATACTTGTAACACAAGCAAGAAAGGGCTAGGCCTATCCAGTTTAGAGGTCTTGCCTTGGAAAGGTCTCTGGCATCATTAGAAGTTGTGTCCTGGAAGCTTGGGCAGCACCACAACCACAAAAGCAGAACACACAAAAAGACCTTCCATGGCAATGTAAAAGGAAAGTTGCAAAACATGGAAAATATGGTTGCAAAAGTCTGCTACCAGCTCGGAGTACCTCTACCATATTTCCTTGAGGAGTTAGTAGCTGGATCACTATTCTTCTATCATTATTTGAATCTCCAGTAGTAGAGAAAAAATGCCAGACTTTTGAAGGTTATTACATAGACATCTCTGTGATAATAGTGGACCTATTAACAATGCCATGTTTGTCTTACTGAGATCAGTAATACAGCATTATACACTCAGTGTGCATTTTCCCAGCCCACTCCACACAGCAGATCAAGGACTAAGAATCAGCTTGAAAAAGACTCAGGCCCTTTTCAGAAAGCTCATGCTGCTGCTGGGACCCACTACACATGTCCCAAAGCACTAGCATTAATTTACCAGAAGAAAGGCAAGAAAGATCATGCATGAAGCACCAAGTGTCATCAAAGAAAAAAAAAAAAAAGAAAAAAAAGGAAAATAAAAAGACAAAAGACCCTGTATCTGGCCCTTTGCCAAGGCAGCAATTCCTTCTCAGGTGTGCATTTGATCCAGAAGGTCTCTGGATGATAAAGATGATTGTGTTACCAAACAAAAAGCAACAACCTGCTGAATCTCACTTGCTGGGAGGTCAGGTAATGAATTGGCAGGAACAAAGTCAGAAACATCCTTCTTTGGAGGGAGTTCCCTAGAAGAAGTTTGATCTGGATATCAAAGAAGGGGAGAGGGAGGATAAAAGAAGTCCAGGCAAAACAGAGCCAGTGTACTAACAAAGCTGCTTTTCCGTACACCCTTAAAAGGTGATACACAAGATAACATTCAACAAACCAAATTATAGCATCTACTTTAACAAAGCCATCTGAGCAAAAATAGTTTGCGACACGATGCCCTTAAATAAAGCAAGGAAGGAGGAAACAGATACAAGCCAATTCGTTTCAGGAACAACCTGAGGTAAGAATCCAGATGAACATTTCCTTAGCCAAGTGCCCTGCTGGATGGACAGGGTGCTTCCAAAGACTGAGTTCACTAGTGACTCAAAGGTTTGACACGGTATCTTTCTTCTAAACATCTCCTCTAAGGTGCAGCTTTTCCCAAACTGGAAACAGTCTTCAGCCTCTACATCAGCACAAACATGCAGGGAAATACTGGAGAACAGTTTCCAAGCAACTTAGATTCCAGAGAAAACAACTGCCCCACCACATTAAGCTGTTCCTTTTAATCCTCCAGTGGCATCATTACTCTTTTATGACAGAAAAAACATACTTTGTCAATATTCATCTAAGCATTTATATGCTGGGCACCATCCCAGTGAAAACAAGGGAGATGCACTGTCTGCTGCACTGAAATCAACACTCTCTGGTCTCAGGGTCCTTTTTCGAGTCTGGCAGCATAGGAATGTGGAGCTATTACCTATAGCCAGTGTTTCCTAAGACAGACCAAGTCATGCTAGGATCCATCCCTTCCGCCAGAAATGCTGATTTCAGATGGCACGGAAGTGGAAGTGTTTCACTCTTTAGAAGCAGTTTCTACCAAAAGCTGCTACAATATGCATAGTTTCACTAACCCCACACTACCTTTTTTCAGCTTTTCTCCAGGACAAAAGGCATGAGACATTTAGAAAGTAGAAGAGACAACCAGAGATGGATAGAAAAAGCAGGTTAACTACCATGGAGATATTTGCAACGGGAAAGGAAGGCGATAACTGAAGTTTGTCAGAAAGTAAGAGTCAAATATTGCAATCCTGCAGCATCTGTAAACATGGATTTAATTTGCCCACTCAATTATATTCAGTCTTTCCTGGAGAAAAGTAAACATCATGAGAGAGGAAGAAAAGAAATTTTTGCCTCTAAAACTGTGAAGGCTTTCTAAATTTCAAAAAAGTGATTGCAGTGTAGGCAGAATTTTGACTGACTTGAGAATTGAATTCCTCTTTAAAGTCAGTAAATAGTCATAGTAGAAACCTGCTCCCAGACACTGACCCTAAACCCTGCTTCATCTCTCATTTGAAAAAATTGCTACTGGTATAATCACTATAGCAATGTGTCTTATTCTGTCCAATTCATGTCTCCTGGTCTTCACACCAAGTGATGGTATTAAATCACAGAATCACTAGGTTGGAAGAGACCTTCAAGATCATCGAGTCCAACCCATGCCCAAACATCTCAACTAAACCATGGCACCAAGTGCCACATCCAATCTTTATTTAAACATCCAGGGATGGTGACTCCACCACCTCCTCAGGCAGACCATTCCAGTACTTTATTATTCTATTAGTGAAAAACTTTTTCCTATATTTCCTTTGGTGCAGCTTAAGACTGTGACCTCTCATTCTGTCAGTTGCTGTCTGAAGAAAAAGACTGTCTTGGTTTGAAAGACAGGTATGGTCTAAGGAAAGGCAGGAGCCCCTTTTCTGCGATGCAGAGTGCAACCCCCCTCCCTTTTAATTATTTTAGGTCCAATTCAGACGCCTTCAGGCAGGAGATATGGGGATAAGAATAACAGTTCTTTACTGGTATCTAACAAGGCAGAAAAACAACAACAGCTATAAAAATTGGCAACAGAAACAGTCTAGCTCCGCTCCAGTCCCTTCTGGCCGCAGGCCGTCTCCCTGTGCTGTTACCGGTGCTGTGGGGGCAGGGCAGGTCCCGCGCAGTTGAAGAGGGCTGGGTGATGGCGGCAGCAGCCCAGGGGTGAGCGGGGATGGGGAAAGTGACTCCCCCCTCACGGTGTCGGTCGTGGTGCTCAGCAGAGTGTCCGGAGGTAGTAGGGTGAGCTAGGAGAGCAGCAGAGCGATGTCCAAAGGCAGGGAGCGTGGATCTCAGTGCTGGGATGGCAGGGGAGATGCCAGAGCGGAGCCCAGGCTGTCTTCCCACTCCACGAGCCAAGCAAGAGAGAGAGCCCCACTCCAGACCCCCCCCATCCCACCTTTCCTTTTCCGGTTCCCCCCCCCCCTCCTCCAGCCACCCCCCTACGAGAGAACATTATCTGTCGTTTTAAGGTGTAGCCGCAATTACTTAGCATAACAATGGGAGAAAATTCCACTGAAAGAAAAGGGAATAATTCAACCTCCAACAAAGACCAACTCCCACCTGACTACAACTACCCTTCAGGAAATTGTAGGAAGTGATAAGGTCGCCTCTGAGGCTCCTTTTCTCCAGGCTGAACACTCCCAGCTCTCAGCCATTCCTCAGAGAGGGCTTGTGTTCCAAGCCCCTCACCAGCTTTGTTGCCCTCCTCTGGACATGCTCAAGCATCTCAATGTCCTTCCTAAACTGAGGAGCCCATAACTAGACACAGTACTCAAGATGTGGCCTCACTAGTGCTGAGTACAGGGGAAGAATGACCTCCCTGCTCCTGCTGGCCACACTATTCCTGATACAGGCCAGGATGCCGTTGGCCTTCTTGGCCACCAGGGCACACTGCTGGCTCATGTTCAGCCGGCTGTTGACCAGTACTCCCAGGTCCCTTTCTGCCTGGGCACTGTCCAGCCACACTGTCCCTAGTCTATAACATTGCAGGGGGTTATTGTGGCCAAAATGCAGGACCCAGGACTTGGACTTATTAACTTCATCCCATTGGACTCTGCCCATCCCTCCAACCATTTCAAGATCCTCTGCAGAGCCATCCTACCTTCCAACAGAAAGACTCAATCCCCTCATCCATGTCATCAATAAAAATATTGAACAGAACTGGCCCCAGCACAGACCCCTGAGGGACACCACTGGTGGCTGATCCCCAGCTGGATGTAGCACCATTCATCACCACTCTCTGGGCCCAGCCAGTTCTTAACCCAGCAAAGAGTGCTCCTGTCCAAGCCATGGGCTGCCAGCTTTTCCAGGAGTTTGCTGTGGGAGACAGTGTCAAAGGCCTTGCTGAAGTCCAGGTATACAACACTCACAACCTTTTCCGCATCCACCAGGTGGGTCACCTGGTCATAAAAGGAGATCAGGTTGGTAAAACACAACCTACCCCTCCTAAATCCATGCCGGCTGGGTCTGACACCCTGGCCATCCTGTAAATGCTGCATGATGACACTCAGTATAAACTGTTCCATTACCTTACAAGGTACTGAGGTCAGGCTAACTTGTCTATACTTACCAGGATCCTCCTTCTCACCCTTTTTATAAATGGGTGTCACATTGGCCAGCTTCCAGGCATCTGGAACCTCACCAGTGAGCCAGGACTGTTGGTAAATGATGGAGAGTGGCTATGCAAGCTCATCTGCCAGCTCCTTCCTCACCCTGGGGTGGATCCCATCTGGTCTCATAGATTTGTGAACATTCAAGTGGCTCAGAAGTTCTCTGACTGCCTCCTCTTGGATTATGGGGGAACCATTCTGCTCCCTGACACCATCAAACAACCCAAGAGGACAGTTGTCCTGAAGGCAAGTTGTTTTCCCACTAAAAACTGAGGCAAAGAAGGCATTAAGCACTTCTGCCTTCTCCTTATCTGCAGTTACTAAGTTCCCTTCCTCATCCAATATAGAACAAAGGTTGGTCTTACCCTTCCACTTACCATTAATATATTTTAAATACTTTTTTTGTTATTCTTTACAAAAGTTGCCAACTAAAGTTCGAAATCAACAGCAGGAGCCAAAATTTTTTGAGATATGTGGAAATTTTTTTAGCAATGTGGACAAAAGCTTAGACAAAACTCCTTTCACTTGCCTGACTAAACTCCAAAATTGGTGAAGAGTATAATTTGGCTGGGGGGGGGGGGAGGGAGTTTACGGTTGGGTGTACTTAGAGCACCCACTGCTCATGAAAAATCAGAGATGCCACTAAGATGTTGATGCTTTAATCAACCTAATGCCCAACCCGACATAAACAAGGATTGTCACGGCAACATTAGCTTGAAGCATTTCTTTACTTTCACATGTCATTTCCCACTGTGTGAATTATCCCACCACGCTTCAGAGCTTCAGGTTTCCACACATTCTCCTTGATTTCTTATCAGAGTATGGTGAGGCAGGAAGGAGCACAAGGAGCACAAGGCTGACCTGCCACATTTACTTCTATCTCCTCTTCTCCTCCTGTAGAAGTAGGTTTGTGGGGCTGTCTTTATGCTACTTGAAGGATCCCTTAGGGAAGACAACTTCTCAGCCAGCTGCTGAAGCTGGTTTCCTGACAATACAAACAGGAAGGAGCAAGGCAAGGGACCCAGCCCAGTAAAACAGCATGAGGGACCACGTGAAATCTAATTTATGCTTATCATCTGGACAGACACCCCATAGCACTCACAGGCATCCCAAAGAATCATCAGTAGATACGCTGACCTATTTTGCCCTTAGAAGCAAGGAAGAGTGGAAACACAGTTATTGAACAGGCAGTTTGGGTTTATCCAGAGGTTGTGGAACAGGAAACTTGATTTTTTTTTTCTCTTTCTCATAATGGCCTGTGATTTGACCAACACAGTATAACTGTGTAATATCTAAATTAAATTCTTATTGAGACAATCTTACTTCAAGCTAGACTTCTTCTCTTCTCTCCCTTCGAATGTCCAGACCAGATAGAATGAACACTGATGATCAATGAAGTTCAACCAAAGTTCAGCACAGAGGCAATTCCATGCAGGAGACTAACTGAGCAAATCTAAAAACCACAGTGTAACACACTTAGGAGACTGCCAGAAAGGTAGCTCTGGAGTTCAGCGTACAGGCTATTCCCTCAGTTAATGGAAACTCAGACTTACTTGTCTGCTATGTTGTACGTTTTGCCCTTTCCAGATTAAAGTCAGGATAATGTTCCCCTTTTTCTCACCTTTCTCCCCATTTCCTGTTTCATAAAATAAACAAAACAAGGACTACAAAATTAATGGTGAAGGAAAAAAACAAGCAGAGCAGAACATGGTGGATTATACAGTTAGACAGGAGAAGGTATAACAAAACCAGAGAAGGACAGGATCCGCTTTTACCCACCAACTGCTCCTCATTTTAACAGGGAACCACAGTATATCATCATCATTCACCTCTATTCCACACAAATCACCGTGCTGTAACCATTTTATGCCTTCATCTGAGCCTCTATCAATCCTCCATTTGGAGACAGCTCCTGAAAGTCCTCCTGTTTTTCTGTTCCCCATTAGAGACATGCACAAATCCCTCAAAGCTACAGTTTCATCACACTTCTTCCACCACCAAATCTTACCAGAGTAAACTAAGGGGCAGTAAGCCTCAGCTGATTAGACAGAAACCTTATTGAGTCTGTGAAATAATTCACATATGTTTTGATGATGATGGCGTTTTGCTACAAGACCAGGACGTATTCAAGAAGGAGAGAAAAAAATAAGGTAATTGCAGTGGGCTGAGAACATGTGAGAGGAAGAGCCCTGCAGGCACCAAGGTCCATGCAGAAGGAGAGGGAGGAGGTGAGATTCCTCTGCAGCCTATGGTGTAGATCATGGTGAAGAAGCTGTGACCCTGCAGCCCATGGAGGATGCAGAGATCCAGGTGCAGCCCATGGAGGAGCCCCATGCAGGTGCATGCTTGAGAGGAGGCTGTAAGTCCATGGGATACCAGTGGAGAAAGAAGCCCACGCTGGAGCAGCCTGTTCTTGAGGGACTGCCCCCTGTGGAAGAGTGACCCATGCTGCAGCAGTCTGAGGGATGCTGTTACCTGTGGGAGATGGAGCCACGTCAGAGAAGTTCATGGAGCACTGTCTCCCTTGGGAAAGACCCCACAGTGCAGAAGGGGAAGAACTCCTCTCTCTGAGCAGCAGGAGAAGTCACAGGTGATGAACTGTCCATAACCCCCATTCCCTGTGTCTTTGTGTCCTTGTGACTGGAGGAGGAGGTAGAGCAGGGAGGGAGGGAGGGGTGTACAGAAGGTGTTTTGAAGGTTCTATGGTACTTCTCATTATCCTACTCTGATTTTATTATTAATAAATTCACTTAATATCTCTCAGTTGAACCTATTTTGCTTGTGATGGTATTTGGTGAGTGATCTCTTGACCCTTATCTCAACTCCTGAACCCTTCATTATATTTTCTCTCCCCTGTCCAGTTGCAGAGGGGAGAGTGAGAGAGAGTTTGGTGGGTGCCTAGCATTCAGCCAGGGCCAACCTACTACACTGGGATAACAGTGAACAAACAGCTGCACTGAGAACAAACATGAATCAAAGATTGAAAAAGCTTTTTTTTTCCCCTCAGAAGCTAAAAGGGCTTCCATTTCAGTCCTAAACTGCTCTGCAAAAGAGAAACAACAGTCATGATGCTTCCTTCAGGAAAACAAAGACTGAATTTAGAGGAAAGCAAGGCAATTATTTTGATAACAGTTCAGAATTTGAAGCACTTGAAAAAAAGATGGAGGCATCCTCAAAGTTCATTAACTTCTGAAGCAGTGTCCCATGCCCAGTTTGCTAGTGAACCCCCCAGAGTAATGGGGAATGCTTCAGGTTTATGCATCCTACACTGTCTCCTTAGAACTTCAAAGAAGCCACCAGCTGCAAGCCCTGTTCTCCTCTTTCAGAAAGGCTATGTTATATAAGGAAATACCACGCTGGTCAGTCATAGTGAACAGACCTTTTATCTTCAGATCTCTTTTTTCTTCTCCTTCCATTTGTTTTTTTTTTCCTTCTTTCTTTTAATATATGAAGGCAATATTTACAGCCAAAGCACTGCTGAGTAAGATGCAGTGATTATGGCTGATTTTATCACAGCCGTATTACTTAGCTGCAAGGTGAAGCGCTGTGCTAAAATGGATCATGAATCCCTGAAATTGACTATCCGTCACCTTTATAATCCTGATGGAAAGGCAGGTCAGATCAGGCCTGACAACTCCCCATGCAAACGAGACTACACCAGTGACGTCTGCTTGCCTCAAGACATTTATTTGTCTGGAGAGGAAGGTGATGCCTTAAGGAACTGGACTAGAGAAAGATGGAGAGGAGAAGTCAAATACTCCAACTGCCCCTGCAGGAATCAAGTGCAAATACAGGAGCCAATTTTGTGCACAGAAAAACTGCTAGAAGTATTGAATGAAAGCATATTAAAAGCAGCTTAGAATCACGACTGTGGCATGAACGCCTCCCCCTAGGAAGAACAGATTTCAGTTTCAAAGCTAGAAAAATAAAATAACATCACCTCACCACTGGGAATTTGTATGATCAGAGGAAATGTATAAATGAAGAAAAAAAACCTCTAAAATGTCTGAAGATTCTAGTCATAATTCCTTCCAATTCAGTGTCACTTTCTTTCTCACAAAGTCAGATTTAAGAAGTGTCTGTAAGCTTGGAGACCAAATCCATCAGGGTGTAAGCATTGGCCATTACGTGTGGCACCTATGCAAGAAAGCTCACAGAGTGATGGAAGTGTTGAATCTCATAGGTGTTTATTTGGAGACACTCAGTTCTCTTGATGAGAAAATCACTAAACTGATCCACTGAATATTTTTAACTGGCATATGGCCATATTAAGGAAACTTCCCAATCTGACCGTCCACAAGACTCTCTAGAAGTCACACTCCCACAGCCAGGAACTTTATCTGCTGGGGCTGAAGACCCTTTGCAGCAGGTGCCTCCAGTGAGCCAACACTTGTCTCGCTTGACTCTACATATCCCAGTCACATAGTCTGACCAGATTTCCTTAGCAGTTTGAGGCCAGATTTCCCTTAGCAGAGTCTCAGATGTCTCATTCCATAAAGCAATTTATTCATGGTGCAGTAACACGGAAACACCCCAAGCTGATGTCTCTGAGGAGGAACCAGCAACAAAGTACCCCCTTGGCTTTTATCCTCTCACGGTCCAAGCTCAAAAAACTCTTGCTCTTCCCTTCTGAGTCTTAAGTCCTTTGCAGTGTCTCCCAGTGCCCATCCACCCAGCCTGTCCACCAGTCTTTGTTCCCTTTGTTATGAAAAGGGTTGGTAGTTCACAGCATCTTGTCTCTGACTCCTTCCACCCAGAACTCAACCTGCAGTGTCCACTGCAGCTGCACTCAGAGCTGCCTGCACCAAAAGTATTCCTCAACAGCCATATGCAAGAGGGATGCTGTAGGAGAAAATACTAACTAGCATGTTATTTACTGTTTCTAATGAGACTGATGTGCTTTTTTGGGTAAACACCAGCTTCTTAAGGCAAGACTTGTTCTGAAGAATAAGCACAGGTTGTCTTATTCATACACCTCCCAGATTTGGGCATATCTCAGAACCACTGAGCAGAGTGCTTGCTCTTGGCACCTGTGTTCTATTCCCAGCATAGTTTCTTACAAATCAGGCAGCCTAGCCATAGTCTGTAACACTCCTGTTCCTTATTCCTGCCCGTGCTAAAATAGGTTAATATTGTGTATGTCACAGAACTACTACACCCTTCTTTTTAAAAGTGGGGTAGACTCTTTGAGATCCAAAGATAGATGACATTAAAGAAGGGCAAATCTTACATCTTGCTCTTCTCACCTGTCCTTTCTTCCCCTTTCCTCTAGTGCCTCTTCTGGGTAAGTCACATCCCAGCTAAACCTCTTAGTGAGTGATTATATTATAGATAGTGCTAATTACCAAGTGTCATCTGCATGGTACAATCTTATCAACACCCCACACTTTCTCCCCTAAGGTGAGGGGGCTTGATCCATTTCATAAAAGTATCCTAGTTATCTGCTCCAGCAAGCTTCATTCCCTCAGGCCTGAAGGGGGATGGTATGTTGTTTTTTGTTTTTGTTTGTTTTTTTTCTTTTGTCACCCTAAGTACAGACGCAAAGCTTTTCTGATAGAACCTCTTGCAGGCAGGTAGGGTTATCCCAACAACATACTTGTGGGTATTGTCCCATGCGTACAAAAGGAGTCAGCTAGTTCCCAACATGCTGTGTTTCAGGTAATATCTCATAAGCTCGTCCCCAGCAAGCACTGCAGCTCTACCACCCTCCAATAAGCACAGGAAGTCAACACCTGCCCCACAGCTGGGAATACTGAGTCTGGAACATGGGATAACAAAGGTAGAGCAGAAGTAGCTGCAAGAAACGCTCATCAATGCTTTGGTAGGACTATTAAATCACAATTTAGTATTGCCTGGTATTTTTTTTCCTAGAATCTCCATTTGACCAAGCTCTGCCAGGGCCATGCTCTTCTGCCTTGCAGCACCCCCAACCCTTAGTTTGAGGCTCCCCCCACATTTCTCACAACTTAACATGGGGTAGGCTCAGTGACCCTGTGGGCTTGGCTACAATACTGCTGGTTACCAAGGCTTTAACAGGGTAATTTCATATTGCATTATAATCCAGAACATCATTTGCTTTCTTATTAGTGGATACTCCAGCTCTATTATTTCTGGGGGTTTTGTTATTTTTATGTTTGAAGGTTGTTAGTGTTTTGTTGGTTTGGGTTTTTTTCTTTTTTTTTTTTTTCCCATATAATTTGTGTGCATATTACTCGCTGTCCTGGAATTCATTTTGTTCTCTGCTAATGAAACCCCTGCGTCGTTAACAAAGCAGAAAATAAAAAAGGTAAATAGCACTCTCCAGAAACAATTTGTTTCTTGTTCTGTAAATTTTTGCTGAACAGCATCTCAGGGAATTTTCACCCCAATAAGAGAAGAGTGAAGCAGGAGATGATTGAGAAGGGGCTAGAAATGCAGTTAGTTGATCTGGAAAGGAAATAATAATTATATGCACACCGTAGACAAATAGGTACTCAGACAGCTGCACCTGTGAAACTCCAGGAAGCACTTGGGCACCCAAGTAATTTGACTGAATAGAAACCACTGGTTGTAGAGACAGATGAAGGGGGAATTATTTTTTTCATGTTTAACCCTTTGGATCTACACCAAGAGTCAGCTGCCCTTACCAGATTCAGAAAACAGAAGAGGACACAGCAAATTAATGTGCAATCCTGCTCTGCTAGAACACCTAAGGTAGGTATAGACTGTGTCCAGCAATATTGGTGTCAATGAACACAAAAGGAGGAGATGAAAAAACTTTGGAATATGTGATGCTGTTTTTTCCTAGTATGTCTGATGCTACTACCTGCTAGGGCAAGATATACTACTAAAGGTAGTTTCTTTCTCATATAGGAGAGTCATCATGTTCACTTTCAAACAGCTGAATACAAGTCACAAGGCTGAAATTTTCAAAAAAATTAGACCACTGAAGAGATTTTGAAGTTTTTACCGAAGATCTAGATTAAAGGCTTGCAATTGGAAAATGTATGAATTTATAGCTGTTCCACTGGTTTTACTGTCTGACATTCAGATCCTAAACCCTCTAATTCAAGCAGGGAGGTAAAACAATGTCATAGGGCAGGAATGGAGATGCTCTTACATCCTTTCCACCAATAATCAAGTAATATATATGTCATGTCTGTGCTTTATTGCTTAGGAATTAAGAAATCAGTACACTTCCTGGAAAAATGAACCAATCAACATCAGATTCAGCCAGAGTGAAATGCACTGAAAGCCAGGTTTTATTTCTGAGATTACTCTTTTGGCTAAAGTAGCCAAAGGAATTAGATGGCAAAAGCCATGTGGTCCTAAGTTCCTTAGCCACCTTTAAAATAGCACGCACAGCGCTCCATGCATGAACACACCTTGCCCTATCACTCACTGGACCAACTCTCATATGGAAGATTAAATACAAGCTGCTCTACTGGTAAAGCATATTTATTGAACTTTAAACACCATGTAATTTATACATATCTCTTCACAGAGTTGGAAAAACTCCATCAACAATAATAATGGCAACATTCAATTTCAATTGGTATGTTTTTAACCTACAATAAGCAACCTGTTATAACTATAAAGAGGTCTTTAAAAGTTATGCAAGGTATTAATAGAGCTGCTAGGAGACCATGCAGGTTGATTTTGTAGCAAGTCTGCAGTGAAAAAGAATGCAGCAACCAGAAAAATCCCGACAAGACAGCAGCACTATCTCAGGAGATGATTGCTTCAGCTGTACTAGTTATTTACATGAAGTCAATTCCAAGTGATTATTACAAACATGAAGTTTATCGTTCAATGTAAGAGGCCAGTTCATTACATCCCCACAAGCTACAGCTTAAATGTCCAAGCTCTATAATTTAGTTTTTCTCACAGCAGTTTTGAATTTAATCGCTGC